CCAATTCGATTGGCCAAGGTGACATTTTGTCAGGTGTGGGCCAATTGAGTTAGCGTCAGCAACTTTGAGTGGAGACAGGGTTGGGATGATCTATCCCAGTTGGTGTGGAGCCGCTATTCTATGGAGGGAAGTGGGATTGTGTGCGAAAGTGACACGAAAGTCGAGCAGCTGGTGGAACTGTTGGGGACAGTGGGAGCAGACGCAGGCTGCCTTCTGTGTGGAGGGAGGGGGAGAAATATGCTTCAAAAATGAAGATGGGGCACTGCCACCCAAAATGTTTGGTGACTGAACCGTACGTTTTTCTTCACCTCTCTCACAGAGAACATCACCAAGGAGACCAGAAGAGCACAGCAGATTAGTTAAAGGGAACATTACAGCTGAGATTCGATTGAGCCTCTGTGTAGCTGTGAAATTTGAAGAGGTAGGTCGCAACAGGAACACCGCCACCTCCCCCCCCCCCGCCATCTTTCACCCTGCACAACCAGAGCATCGTCCTTAAGCTGGGGACAGGGGTCAACTCAAAAGGACAGTGTCAGAGCAAGGGGGTAGCGTAGGCTCAAGTCTGACTGTGGGATACAACTGTGTAATTGCTGCTGAATCCGGCTCGAAAACGCTCCGACTGAACCATCGGTCACATGACTGACGGCTCTTCCGCGCGCCCCCTCCCGCCCCAACACTCCAGGCGAACAACGCTGCTGTTGCTTCCACTGCTAGAATGAGCCAAGGAATTAAATCAACCGCTGTTCTTCACTGTATTATCATCTCCAGCCAAGTCCTGTGAGTGTTTGATGGAGTCAGGGTAGAGCGAGCTTCACTTTCAGTTTCGAAGAGGAGAGGGAGCTTTACTGTGTGCCTAACCCTGTACAGCCCCTGTACTGGGAGTATTTGATGGGGACAGTGTAGTGGGAGCTTTACTTTGTTTGAAAGGGTAAAAGAACCTTCCCTTTTAGGTTAAAAGAGTAGAGGAAGCTTTACTCTGTATCTAACCACACGTGATCCCTGTTCTGGGAATATTTCACCTTCCAAACCCATGACCACTTCCATCTGGAAGGACAACGGCAGCAGATATATGGGAACATCACCACCTCCAAGTTCCCCTCCAGGCCACTCACCATCCTGACTTGGAAATATATTGCCGTTCCTTCACTGTCGCTGGGTCAAAATCCTGGAATTCCCTCCCTAAAAGCATTGTGGGTCAACCCACAGCAGGAGGACTGCAGCGGTTCAAGAAGGCAGCTCACCACCACCTTCTCAAGGGGCAACTAGGGACGGGTAAGAAATACTTGCTCAGCCAGCGACACCCACATTCAACAAAATGAATAGAAAAAAAAATTTGATGGTGTTAGTGTAGAGTGAGCTTCACTTTCAATTTAAAAGAGTAGAGGAAGCTTTACTCTGTATCTAACCAGAAGTGATCCCTGTTCTGGGAGTATTTGATGGGGACAGTGTAGAGTGAGCTTCACTTTCAGTTTAAAAGAGTAGAGGAAGCTTTACTGTGTCTCTAACCCGGTGCTGTCCTTGACCTGGGAGAATGAGGGTGGAAGTGTGTTTAGGACACGGTGGGACTAGCCTGTTTCCATGCTGAAGCCTGATCTTCTCGCTGTAGACTGGATGCATCACACAGCAGAACAGTTTGGAGTGCGCAGTGCGCGAGAAGCTTTCCCGATCGACAGCCTGAGCCGAGCTGGGGGAGGGTGGAACCCAGGCCCCCAGCGACCATGGCCCCCGAGCAGCAGGTAAGTGAGGGGTTGAAGGTCGTGGGGGAGGATTGGGGGGGAGCGTGAGGGTTTGGTGGGAATGTGATGCGATCAGATCAACCACAACATTAGCAGATGACGACTGGGCAGAATTTTCGGGTGTTGAGGTCTCAGGGCGCCCACTATCGGAGTGTACATCTACCGGTGTCTGAGAGTATCTCCCCATAACGCAGTGTTCCCCAGTCAGCACTTGTGTCATCGCAGTTTGAGCACTCCTCGTGTCGGTAGGTCCAGCGCAAACTCAATCGGCCAGTGGAGACTCTTCCATGTTGTGTGACTTCAACCACAACACCTTTGGAAAGTTGCTCATGTGACTCTGCCCCTTTAAGAAGGGTGATGGGGAATTATAGACTAGTGAGCCTGATGTCTGTGGTGGGGAGGTTGCTAGAGTCTATAATTAACGATAGGGTATCTAATCACCTCAGAAAATTTCAGTTAATCAGGGAGAGTCGGCATGGATTCATGAAGGGTAGGTCACACTTGACAACCTTCAGAGTTTTTGAAGAGGTGACAAAGGTGGTGGACAGAGGGAAGTTGATGGGTGTTGTTCACTTGGACTTCAACAGCTTTTGATAAAATCTCACTGAAGAGACTGCCAGCTAAGGTGGAAGTTCACGAAATGGAGGGCAAATTACTGAGATGGATAGGAAATTGGTTGAGCGGCAGGAAACAGTTGGAATAATGATTAAGTGCTCAAACTGGCAGGACGTGACCACTGGTGTCCCGCAGGGATCTGTGTCAGGGCCTCAAAATATTCACAGTATTCATTAACAACTTGAATAAAAAGTCAAACATCCAAATTTGCTGACAACTCAAAATTGGGCAGCGTTGTCGACAGCGGAAAAAATACAACAGGATACTGACGGATTAGGTGAAATGACAAAGCTGGGGCAGATGGATTTTAATATAAGCAAGTGTGAGGTTATCCACTTCAGATCAGGGCTGTCTTTTAAAGAATATCCAGAGCTAAATACAATGGATGTCAAATGAGATTTGGAGGTTCTGGTACAGAATAGCCAAGAAGTCTAATGGAATGCTGCAGTTACACAAAGCCTTACTTAGACCCTACTTATAGTGCTGAGAGCAGATCTGGGCACCACACCTTAGGAAGGATGTTTTTGGCCTCGGAGGGCATTCAGTGTAGGTTTACAGGAATGATCATGGACTCATAGAATCCCTACAGTGTGGAAACAGGCCATTCGGCCCAACAAGCCCACACCGACCCACCGAAGAGCATCCCACCCAGATCCAATCCCTACATTTCCCATGTCTAACCCACCTAACCTAAACATCCCTGGGCACTATGGGCAATTTAGCACAGCCGATCCACCCTAACCTGCACATCTTTGGACTGTGGGAGGAAACTGGAGCACCCAGAGGAAACCCACACAGACATGGGGAGAATGTGCAAACTCCACACAGACAGTTGCCCGAGGCTGGAATTGAACCCAGGTCCCTGGTGCCGTGAGGCAGCAATGCTAACCACTGAGCCACCATGCCGCCCCTGGACTTAAGCGGTTAAAGTTACGAGAGAGATTAGATATTAGGCCTTAATTCTCTCGAATTTATAAGGTTAAGAAGTGATCCAATCAAGATCTTCAGGATATTAACAGGACACGACACGGTAGATAAAATGAATTATTTCCACGGTTGAAGTAACTAGAGCCAAGTGCATAGTTTAAGAATTAGGGTCAGGCCATTCAGGAGAGATGTTTGAAAGCATTTCTACACACAAAGAGTAACAGAGGTTTGGAATTCTCTTCTTCAGATGGCAGTTGATGCTAATTCAGTCATTAAATTTAAATCTGAGACAGACACATTCCTGTTTCGAGTGATATGGGCCCAATGCAGCCATTTAGAGTTAGACCACAGATCAGCCAGGATCTTATTGAATGGCAGAGCAGGCTCGAGGGGCTGAATGGCCTTCTCCTGTTAACTGTGTTCCTTTGTCCCATTGCCTGCCCGGCATTTAATACCCAGCGCAAGTGTCCTTGAACCATATCCACAAACATCCATTCGCTCCATCACCCTTGCTCAGTCGCAGCAGTGTGTATCATCTACAAGATGCACTACAGAAATTCACCAAAGATTCTTAGACTGCACCTTCCAAATCCTCATCTACCTCTATCGAGAAGGACAATGGCAGCAGTTACTGCTTTGTCTACCATCGGCCTGCTTAGAGCACATGGACTGCTGCTGTTCAAGGAGACAGATCATCAACATCTTCTCAAGGTGTGTTTAGGGATTCAAGCAGATTCAGTAGTGACTTTCAAACAGAGCATTGGATGAATACTTAATGAGAGAACAGTTGGTTAGTTGGAGCTAGTACAGGCCATTCTCCTGAGCTGCCTTGATTTAGTAAGGGGAGGAGTAGACTGCTGTTCTGGTGTCAATGACCCCTGCCCTGTTTGTAGCTGACTGCAACCCTGCCCCTCTGTCCATTAATATTTACTGAAGGTAGGATTAATATAGGGAGGGGTGCGTGTGCAGATGGAGCCTGCTGTCCTTAGGTCAAAGGGCAAAGACTGATGCTGAGCATCCCTGAACTGTATGGGCCATGTATTCAGTTACTGGGCTGGGACCCAAGGTGGCAGAGTTTGGTTTTGTAAGATACTGGTTGACTTTGGACCCCTTTAATCTTCTGATTTATTCCCACCCCACCCCATTGTCTCTTTGCCAGATGCTCCGCCAATGTTGGTCAGAACCAGTATAACTCATATCCCAGCCACATGACCAGTGTCGGACACTCTGGAAAGCCGTACTGTCCCTCTGGGTAAGAGACTCCATCAAAGCTGGCTTCCTGTACCATCGATTGAGGAGCGGGTAATGAGGCGGTGGCAATGCTAGATGACGTGGGGACAGACCGGAAGGAAAGGCTCATTTGTTGAAATGATTGTTAACTGCACATTAATAGGGTTTTTAATTATATTCTGGTGGTGGGTGTCTCCTGGAAGTCGTGCTCCTGGATATTTCAGAGCCAATACAAATATGTCAAGGCTAGACTTGTTCACTCCTTCGCCACTTCACTATCTGTATTACAACACAGCAGTAGGCTATTTAGCCCATTGAGCGTATGCTGGCTCTTTGTAAAATGAACCAGTCAGTCCCATTCCCATTCTTCTCCGTTCCATCCCTCTAGCCCCTGCAAGTTCATTACCCTCAAGGAGTCCATCCAATTTGCTTTTGAAATTGTTCATTGTCTCCACTTGCACCCTCACTCGTGAGCAGTGAGCTCCACAACATTATCACTCACTGCGGGAGTGAAGTTCGTCCTCTCAGACCCCACACCCTGTATCTCAATCCCTAAAACTTTAAACCTGTGTCCCCCTCATCCTCGCACCATCAGCTGACAGGAGCTTTTCTTCGCCTGTCTCATACACCTTGATCGAATCTCCCCTTCACTCCACCTTCTCTGCTCCGACCTCATCCCTAAAACCCCCTCATCCCTGGGACCATTTGGTGGGGGACATTTCCTCCGCACCCCTTCACCCCTCCTGAAATGTGGAGACCAGACTAGGCACAGTGCTGTAGTTATGGCCTAACTGGAGTTTTATAAAGGTTCAGTATAATTTCCAGGTTGTTGAACACATGGCTTTGTTTATGAAGCCCAGATCCTGTGTACGTTGCTAACTGCGGTCTCAATGGTTAAAGATTGACATACATGAATCCACAGGCCCCTCTATTCCTGCCCACTGTTTAACCATTCTGTCTATATATCTGCCTTTCCTAATCCATTCTGCCAAAACGTATCACCTCACACTTCCCTGGATTAAAATCCATTCACCCCCAAGCCTCCTGTCCTGACACCCTCACCATATGCCTGTCCACCCAAGTTTGGAATCATCAGCAATTTGACTTAATGTCCCAACATCTGAGTCTTTTGTACAACATTTAACAGTCAAGGTCCCCCTTTTAAATCATGAAACCTATGCAGCTAGGCTGAGAGGGGAGAAAGGGGCCTCTGTTTCTCAAAGCACGTGCCTGTTTTCCTGTAAAAATATTGAAAGGCCCGGTCTCTTCAGACCTGAGCTTGGGTAATAAATGGCTTTGATGTGAACGGGGCAAGTGCTCATCAGCAGCTCTTGGCCACCCCCTAGTGGGCAGTTGCAGAGCTGCCCTGGAACCTGATTCAGAGCAGGATCTATTTTTATGTGTGGGCAGGGATTTGGTGGAGAAAAACAACAAAAGGAGGAGGGGGAGGTGGCGAATGAAATTTTTGTGTTTCTTGTCGGTTAATTCGCAGAATGATAACAGTCTGTGCAGGAGATCTGTTTGAACTGCAACCAAATCCATTCCCCACCCACCATTCTGTGGCTCAGTGAATGCATGCACAGGGTAGTAATGAGGTGCACAGGTGTAGTCTCAGTGTCACTGAGTTGCAGGGCGGGGCGGGTGTGGGATGGTGACATAATCCAAAGTGGGGAGGTGTGGGTCTCCTCTGGCACGGCTGCATGTTTGGTGACTCGTGCATGGGGTTGGGACGCTCAGGAAGAGTGGTATCCGGGTTGGCCCCAAGCAGTTGAATAGACCGCTCCTCCCTCCCCATCTGAAGGCCCCATCTCCTTCCTCAGGTCTCCCCGGCCGCTGCATGGTAAGCTGGATGGGATCCACAGCTGCGTGCAGGCCCTCCTGCACGATCAGCCGCAGCCCCGAGTCTGGGAGCAGCTGGGTCAGATCTACGAGTCTGAGCACGAGCTGGATGACGCCATCAAGTGCTACCAGAATGCGGCACGGTACACCAGCGGCTACGGCTACAGTGACCTCATGGCCAGAATTAACCACCTGCAGCAGGTAAGGACACACCTCTTGGGGTCGGGGTGTTGGGAGAGGGCGGACACCGGCCGCCATTTTGATCCTTGGTGGCCATTTGCTTTTTGGACCAAAATGTCCTCGGGGTTTGGGGGGTGTGCGTTTGTGGGCAAGGCGGGTATCGTGGGCCATTCTCCAAAAAGCCGATCGCTGCCCCGGGATCCACCTCAAGGTGAGACTGGATCAAGGCCCCATCTGCTCGCTTCGACCGGACCAGAGTGGGCCACGGTTCTGCGCTACTCCTCAACTGTATTCAGGCCGCACTGTTGACAGTGGGATCTCGCTGCATGCAGTGTGTGTGCTTTCCCTGGCTTGTCAAAGGCAGTTCTTTGTTCCAAGAGCAGTGATTTTTGAACGGATTTGTCTCCCGACTGCTCCCCAGGGCCTTGCTTTCCCCTCAACACCATGGAGTTTGTTTGGGTGAGGGGCTCACCAGCCCCATCAGCAGGACAGCAGCGTTACTGCAGCCGATGGGAGGGGAACGCCATAAATTGGAGGTTTCACCCACAGTCAGGTGCTGCATTCGGGGGGGATTGGCTTAATTCCCTTGGGTTGGATATCTCAAAAACTGCTCACATTGATGTAGAGATTGAGCAAGCGGATTAAACGAGACCTTTTGTAAAAGCAAAACAAACTGCGGGCTCCATTTTTAGAGGCAGAAATCGGAAAAAATTACAGGGAGGTACCTTGAGCCCTGTCTTGGTGATATGGGGTGGCCACTTGCAGTTTCCTTCTCACGAATGTTGTGCTGGGTCAACGTTTATAACACAGCCCTAACTGCCCTGGAGACATCTGTTTAAAGCAAAGGCGACACTTGGAGAAGGTATGAGAGAGGAGACCAGAGCAGAGAGGTGGTAGCCATCAGTGAGAGGGAGGTGCACAAGGCAGGACCTTGTGTGGGGCTGAAACACCAGCAGAGACCCAGATGGGCTGAGTAGCCTGATCCTGCGCCAGAAGCGTTTATGTTTCTTACCATGTTTGTTTTTACTCCCCTCTCTCCAAACCCCAAAACAAAAATCCTTAGGCCCATGTCTGGAAGTTCCACTCCAGTCCCCCCCAGAGGACCCTGCCGGC